GCCCCCCCCCCCGCCCCCGCCTCGAGGTGGAGTTCCAGCCACACACCAAGTATGGATAGACCCAGGAAGGAGAGCTGCAAGTGGGGACCCCTCCCTGTTCTGGAAGCCAGCCAGGGACAAGTGGCCAATGCAGCATGAGACTCTATACCCCTGCCCCCCATATCCCACCCACAGTGGCCTGCAGATTGGGGGACCACTCCAGGGCTGAAATGGGGTAGCCCTTCCCCAAGCCAGCAGCAGAGTAGAGGTCTCCCCATGGAGAAGAGGGAGGCCAGGAGGGTGTGGAAGAGCATCTCCTTAGTGCAAAGAGCTGGGATCTCTAAGCACCCTCTCCCTGAGGTGCCAGCCTTGAATAGGGACATGCAGGGCTTCCACACCACCTGGCAGGAGCCCCATTGGTGGGGCAGAGGGATCCTGCTCTAAATTCTCTGTTGGCTGCGCTTTTTAATCCAATGCTTTTCAGAGTGTATTCACTCACCTACAGAAATAGAGCCCTGTGCTTTAGGGGTGACTGTCATATGCCTTATTCTTAATAAAATATCTGAAAAACACACACGTCAGACCTCTTCTCTGTGGGCACTCTGCCCTACCCAACCTCTGTTCCTGCAGGAGTGGAAGAGGATGTGGAGGACATGGTGGTTTCGGAGGCCGCCTGTGGGTTAGGTGAAGTCTGGGAGCTGAGACTTTTGAGTCTTCTCACTGGATATTCCTCACAGGCATAAGGCACTCATCTGAGGCGTCCCAATGCTCAGGCTAGCCCTGTCCCTCTCCCCATGGCACCCCAAACCGAATGAACAAATGAGACCTTAGATCTGAAGCTTCTGACTAGCTTTGGGAGAGAGAGACCAGAAGGACTCCAGGCCTGGAATTGCCCAATGTCTTGGCAGGGAAGAGTCCTGCGGTTCTGGCATCTTTGGCCACGCTGGTTCCCCTTTCCTGACACCCACGCCCATCTGATCCGGCTGCAAGAAGCCCAGCATCCAGAGATGAGCCCTATTCTTATCTTCCACTAATGAGGGTTATCCTGAGACTGCATTCCGGGAGCTCAGCACACCCAGCACCCACAAGGATTTAAGCCCGTGCGTTTTCCGTATGGGTCTATGTTGTGGAGAAAAAGCAGCAGCTCTACATTCGGGGGATTTGGGAGAAATACTGGTTTGCCTGCAACCCTTCTGATAATAGGACCCATTGCTTCCTTTTGGGGAACTGCTCTCCTGCCATCTCTGATCCCCGTGTTGGGGAGGGGGCGGGTGCTGACTCTACCCACGTGACCCAGGTAAAGTAAGGCACACTGATTGGTTTGGAGATGGGCTCGTGACTCAGTATGAGCCAATGAGACTCAATCTCAGGACTTCCGCTGAAGCCATTCATTCAACACACCAAGTTAGATGCTAGGGATCCATCAGTGAACAAAACAGGACTATAGGGAAATAGACACGCGAGTGGCTAAATGGCGGAATATCAGCCTGGAGGTCTGGCGTGTTGTTTGCTATCGCAAGGGATAAGGGTGCCTGAATATGAAGCTATCATACCAGAAGCAGAAGCAGGAGAGATGGAGACAATTCCCGACAATTAAGCTGCTGGATCCAGCTATGCCTTGATCCCACGTACCCCTCCCCTTGTCAGTTATATGGACCAATAAACCCCTCCTCCTCCCGTACTTTTTCCCCCTCCCCTACTTTTGTTTTTAAGTGGTCAGCATTAATTTGTACATTTTTTTAACTTTATTTTTTTGAGCTAGTTAAAAAAAAATATATTTATTTATTCTGGGGGAGAACGCAAGCAGGGGAGGGGCAGAGAGAAGGGAACAATGGAGCCTAAGAGGGCTCTGCGCTGACAGGCTGACAGCAGAAAAACCTATATGGGGCTCAAACTCATGAAACCCGAGATCATGACCTGAGCCTAAGTTGGACCTTCAACCGACTGAGCCACCTAGGTGCCTGGAGCTGGTTTTAGACTTAGAGAAAAGTTGCAAAAATAATACAGAGTTCCTGTATACCCTTTATCCAGCTTCCCCTAATGTTAACATTTTACTTTATCATAGTAAAATTAAAACCAAGAAATTGACATTGGTACATGATTAGTAAGACCACAGACCTTAGGGGTGCCTGGGTGGCTCAGTTGGTCGAGTGTCTGACTTTGGCTGGGGTCATGGTCTCCTGGCTC